TGACCCACGACTTCTACCCCGAGTGAGACCCACGTGCAGACCATTTTCCATCTATCTAGGTGATTTTTCCTCTAACGTTTTACATATTAAATATAATATTTAGTTATGAATATAATGATTTCAATATTTGTAGAGTAAAAGTTATATCCATACCTATTTATCTATAATTTATAATATATAATATATAAAAGTATTGATATTAAAAAAATTTTAATTGGTAAAAAATTATTTTTGTTCATTATATTTCTAAATTATCATTGTAAATGCCTTTCAAAAAAAATTATCATTGTAAATATTTTTTATCATAAATATTAATAATAAAATTTATCCAATATATAAATTAAAATTTTAATTGCATTAATGATCTCCATTAGAAACATTTTTTATTCTAAATATTACTAAGATTTATATAATTTAGAATTAAAAATTCTATTACATTCAATGACTTCCATTCAACACTATTTTTCTTAATTTTAATATTAATATTAAATAATTTATTGATTAATATTACAAAATTTCAGTTATATATATTTTAAATTGTACACTTTAGAAACATTTGTATCTATATATAATTGTTATTTAAATAAATATAAAATAAGTGTTCATGCGCAATTGACATATCAATAAACACTAATATATATGAAAACCTTGATGTGGTAAAATTTTTTATTGATGAAAACAGACATATTTAAAATTTGATTGATTTATGTTGTTATTTATTAAGGGAATTAAGAATAAAATTAAGTAATGCTTATAACCTAAAATTATATTTAGTGTATACTAATAAGTAATAATATCAATGCAATTAGTTTTAATTTTAAATATAATCAATAATTATAATTTATGGATATTAATATTAATTATATTTAAGTAATTAGACTTATTAAGCTATTTCTTTAATATGAAATTTAAATACTTTATACTTTTATATGAAATAAAATTAATAGTCAAACACTCAAGTGTAAAAATTTAAATCAACTTGTTAACTTTAAAATGAGTATAATTTTGATAATGGCAAAATAATCATAATCTACTTGAACATCACTTATGTTATCCTTGACAAATGCTTGAAATGATTTAGATGCTTCAAATGATTTAGTTCTCATAGACTTATTATTACATGATAACAAGCTTGTTTATCTTAATTATGCGAATTTTTGAAATCTTCGAATTTTCACTTGCTTAACAAATGTCTATAAGCTTGAATAACTTAGTTGTATGAGTGTTAAATTGTTTGGAAGAGTTCTATTTATGATCCCTCTAACATTAACCTTTGAGATATTTAAATTGTAAGTTAGGTGCACAAGATGAGAAGTTCATTGATGTAAGATAGGTGCACAACACCAAGGTTGTCTATACAACACTAAGATCATCTCAAGACAAGAAATTCACTCTCAACTCAACATTTGATGACAAGGAAGAAACAAGAAAGAAATAACCAAAGTTCCATGCTAAAATGTCAAAGAATCTTGGAGAAATAAAGTTGCAATTGATCCTAGAGTAAGTCAAGTCAACCTTATGGTAGAACAGGCAAGAATGGACAAGGAAACTTGAAAAATATACAGCCATAATTGGCCTTATAAATCCTATAGTTGACATTGAGGCATAACATTTGCAAAACTTTAAGAATTGTGAAGTCATAGTTGACCTTGATGAAGCCATAGTTGAATACACCAAGCCAGACTTTAAAAATACAAGCTTTTATGAAGTGGATTGACTAGAGAACTTTCATACTCAACTATAAATGATTGTTGGACACAAAATTCAAAAGTACAATGGCTAATTTTTTATTTTAGTCATCTCCAGTGGCTCCCAGACTCCTCCTATTATAAAAAAAGACCATTTAAAAACATTTCAAAGTAAGGAAGAAGAAAGAAAAAGGTTAAACTCTTAGGGATCAAAGTTTTAAAAGAAAATGAGAAAAACCAAGTCTTTTTAAGCTAAAATTTCTTTGTGTTTTTTACTCCCATATTTATATCTTAACTTCATACCTAATGTTAGGCATTCTTCCTCCATTATACCCACTTAGCAAAATCTACCTTTTAGAGGCATTCTTGCTATTTTTGTAAAGGTTCTAACTCAGCCTTCAAAAGTTAATCTAAAAGTTATAGTTGATCCTAGAAAAAGTTATTGTATGGGTTGGTGGTTGAGCTTGTTAAAAACAATAAGTTATCGCTTGATTTCATGAAAAAGCCATTGTAAGGTTTAATTTGATCTCGTGAAAAAGCTAGTATAAAGGTTATCGCTTGATTCCATTAAAAAATAAGAACCTTTTTTGTAAATTTTGTAAAGGTTATTACTTGATCCCGTTAAAAAGTAAGAATTTTTTTTAGTAGATTCAAAATTTCTTGGTGAGCCAAGGGAGAGAATATAAACATTTGCGAAAGTTGAACCACCATAAAATCTTTGTGTCTTGATTTAGTTTTATACTTTATAATTTTTTGTTGAAATTCTACTTTAGAAAAATCACTTACTTTGATTTTAACACAAGGGGGAAATCCATTTTGACAAAAAAGTTTAATTTTTATATGATATCTTCATTTTATCATTACCTTGTTTTGCTATATTTCAATTCAAGAAAACCCATTTCATAAAGCACTTGTAATTTGATTCATATTTTTAACATCTAAGGTTTGATTCTTTTTGAGTCTTTCTTTATCATCAATACATTTTTACTCTTGAAAATATATTTTTTTATTACACTTATTTGATTTGTACTTGAAAAACATTTAAGGAATTAGAAAACACTATTATAGTCAACTATAAAAGGTTTCTAGTTGACTATGTTAGTGAAGAACTCAGTTTAAGGCAATTTGAAAACCTTATGGTCAACTTTACTGATCTTATAGTCAACCTTTGGTCAGAAAATCATTTCAAAAGATGTAGAAAAAACTTCAAAAGAGAGTTATGATACATAGGTAAAATCTTTTGCAAAACTACTCAATTATATGTAAGAAAATGATTAGTTTTTAAATGCTTTAATGGCATGTTTGGTATGGAGGAATAGCTAAGCCATTCCCCCCTTATTCCTTTCTCATTTTTATTCTTTTGTTTGTTTGGTCTTTGAGGTGGGGAAAAGGCATTCCAAGTAATAGCTATTTACAAAATCTTAGGTGGCGTTTGGTACTTTACAGTGTAATGTGATTGCTTGCAATGTGATTGCAAGCAATGTGATTGCAGAGAAGATAACATTACAGTGTTTGGTATATAAGTAATGTAATGATTAAAATGCAGAGAAGATAACATTGCAGTGTTTGTTTTAGAAGTACTTTGCAGAGAATGTAATGTTAATTTCCAAAACTACCCTTATCTATTAAAATATAAGTTTAACATGTATTTTTTATGATAAATTCTGCAGTAAAGTTAGTATTTAATAAAAATCATTTTATTAAATGATCAAGTCAGATCATTAAACCAGATCAAGCATCCTGTTCCTTTCAAAATATCTAAATTTGCATATGTTGTGCAAGAACAATTTCTCAAACATTTTTCTCACATTCCTGAGGCTTCCATGATTTTCTGCCAATGCATATTTGAAGACCAAACAAGACTAGTGCTGCCATTCAAAGAGCAAGAATTCCTTGACTGGTGATGCTACTGCCTTCACCAATGCAGGGAGCTGGAGCATGCACCAAGCAGCACCCTCAACGCTGTAGAAATCTCTTTCTTGTTTCACTGAAGATAACAAAAAATATAACAATGAAAAAAACCCAAATTAAAAGAAAAAACCCAATCTGAAAAATACAAGAGGAAGATAAAAGAAGAGAAAGAAAAAGAAAAATGGTAGATTTTAACCTCAAACAGGACTATAAGAAAGAGGAGCAACGTCTGCTGCAAATGGAGAAGAAGGGGGAGAAACGTCTGCTGCCAAATGGAGAAGAAGCAGCAGACCTAAAACCCAAAAATGATAATGAAAGGTTTGAGCTGATATTTAGGTAATTTTTGAAAAAATGATGGGTAAAAATGTCTTAAACACATTGCAGGCTGTAAGTTAATGTGATTGCATTGGTTTTGGACTGCAATCACATTACATCCCATGACTGTAATGTGATTACATTGCAATCTTACATTACAGTATTTTGTTACAAAACAAACACTGCAATGTAATTTAATCAATCACATTACAGGTAATGTACTTTACATCCTTCAAAACAAACGGCCCCTTAGTTTAGCCATTCCTCACCTCCCCCATGTTAAATGGCTATTTCATGGCTATGAAATAAAGTCAAAAATTTATTGGACAAAAATGTCCCTATTTATTGAAAATAATTATACCTTACAAATGAAAAATAAAAATAAAGAAAAAGGAAAAAAATACAAATAAAAAACTATATTAATAATTTAATAATAAAGTATTATTGTTTAAATTTTTAATAAAAATAGAAATTAAAAGATTAAAAAATAGAAATACAAATAGAGAAAAATAAAAATGAAATAAAAAGCATATTAATAATTAATAATAAAATATTTAATATTTAAAATTTTAATGAAAATAAAATTAAAAGATTGAAAAAGGAATAATATTATTAAATTATAATAATAAGTTTACTAAATTATAATAAACAGTAATTTTATCATTTTATTATTTATTTCTTAACTATTTTAAAATTATTCTTATAAACTAAAGATCAGAATGAATTATAACAGCAGTTTTTATTTTATTCCATTACATAAATTAAAATCGATAATAATCATTTAATTTTATTCATTATTTATTTTATTTTATATAAAACAATATTTTATTTTATTTTATTTCATTTTATGTACCAAATATAATGAAATTTGAAAAGATCTGAACTGAAAAATAACTCCGAATCGAAATAATAAAATTTAAAATTATCCAAATTTGACCTGAGCTCGAATTCGGCAATAACCCGATGCAAGTCATGTTCTTTGTTTTCGACTGGCGCGTGGTGAAACCAGGAGGAAAATGGGCGTGGGTCTATAGTTGGGAGCTTTTTGAAAAAGTAGCCTTTCACTGCTTTTCCAGTATTCCGCTTACAAAGTAAGTCGGGGCGCTCACTTTGCTTTGCTCATGGTAATAACTCTTGCATTTTCCACTTCAAACCAAGCAAGCAGCTAAACAAGGCTGTTTTCTTTGCTCACTCTTCAATCTTTTCTCGCTCGCTCTCTCTTAACTCAAAGCAGAGATGGGAGAAGGAAAGGGCTCGACCCTGGTGTACCTTTTGGTGGTGGTCCTTAGCTTGGTGGCATTTGGGTTCGCCATTGCTGCTGAGAGAAGAAGAAGTGTTGTAAGCCCATTCTTTACCAGCTTCTCCTCTTTTCAACTCTTTTCAGCTCAAATAGCTCGTACTAAACTTCTAATCTTCTCTACTTTTCATCTTTCTTTAGTGGTTGCATTTTGGTTGTCTGATGGTTTTAGCGCACAAGGAAATAAGGCTTTTCTGAGTGTGATATGCAGAGATCTGTGGGTTTCCGAGTGAATTTTGTTGGGTTTTTGTTAGGATGGTTTGCTTTTAAGTTTTGGGTTTTTGCTATTAAATTATGTTTTAGTTTTGAGTAATTCTATATGTTATTATATTCTGTTATCAATTTTTTAGTCGAAGGGCTACCTTTACTATCATTAATTAAGGTCATTGGTTTACTCTTAACATATGTTTGTTGTTCTTTCTAGTGATGATATTTTTGTTCATTCCTGCCATGACCCTGAAAATCAATGTGAACATGTGCCTGATCTAACATAAAATGTTTAAAAGTTAAATCCAGTTTTAGCAAAACCGAGAAGCTCCTCCTTGGAGCATCTCAATTTCCCATTTCTAATTGAATGGGCTAACTTTTTCCCCCATTGTACCTTATAGTATTTTGTGCACCAAAAGAATTGTTATTTGTTAATGTCCCCAAGTTGATTTTTTCATATCAGTAGGCCAGAATCAGATAACTATATCAATATCTAGGTACTGCTTGTCGCTGATAACATTTTATAATGGTTACCTTCTTGACCACGAGAACATGGCTTTGCCTACTCAAAAAGCAGCACATGAAATGGCAGAGGTTAACAGACATATATGCCACGTATGCTTGGTTGTATATGGAACCTTGTTTGAATGGAATCGGTATGCATTTTTGATTTGGGGAAATTCCCATGGCCGGTTTCTGCTGTTGCTGGTAATTGATACAGTATTTGATCTGGCACAGCTGTGACTGCTGTACAAGCACACATGGTGGTAGGCCCTTCTTGGTGAGACATCAGATCGGCAATGTCTAGGAATAGTAATTTTTTTCTTTGATTTTTATTCCTATAACCCGCTATAGGCTAATTTAAATACTCACCGCAGAGAAGGAAATATAAAATCATTTTTTGTGCAACTGGCACTTTATGAAAATTAACTTCTTGCTTCTTGAAATTTGTTAACTATAGCATGACTAAGCGTATTTAACAAAAAGGTAAATAACAGAATAGCACCTCAATTTACTTGTTCATATTCTACCGGGCTAGTGATACTCAATTTCCTTCAAAGAGCCATATGCTTGCTAATATTGATGCGAGATATCAAGAGAAAATGCTTGACAATATGAAGTAAGTGGCATATATATGTGAACCTACATTATCTTAATGTAGATTAGGCTACATTGCTTCTTTCAACCTCATTAGATGCAGTAACTGTCCAGCACCTGCATCATACAATTGCTGGGTATGTATAAATTGATACTTTTATAGATTGTGGCTGAATATATATGGTCAGAAACATGTGTATATTTGTGCTTGGCTAGTTCCAGAGTGATGGGTGTTTGATTTAGGTAGAAATATGGTTGGATTTTTTAAGGGAATGCCATGTGGAATTGTGAATGCTCTTATGCACATTGATTATGAGGAATCTCTATTTGCGGTTAATATCTAGGGCAGATTTTTTGTAAGGCTCAAAATTTTTTGTGCATGGTACCTAATGAAGCACACTGATGGGTACTTGTTTAATAAGTAATTAATTCAACATCATACCAAGGAAAATATACTTGCTGGCATCTCATATCCTGAGTAGAAGAACAAAGTATAAGATGTTCTGTTGTCTATATCTGTGCACTTAATATGCATTGACTTAATTTATGAACTTTGAACCTCTGTTTTGTTGCATTACAGGGCACCATAGTTAAAGATGACATATCAAATACTACATATTGTGTCTACAATTCAGATGTTGCCACTGGCTATGGAGTAGGTGCTTTCTTGTTTCTTCTTTCCGGTGAATCACTGTTGATGGGTGTTACGAAGTGCATGTGTTTTGGGAGACCTTTAGCTCCAGGCAGTGATCGAGCTTGGTCCATCATCTATTTTGTTTCATCATGGTAAGAATTTCAGGTTGACATAATGCAAAATGTTCGTCCATCACTCATTAAAAATAAACAGGAGCTCCTCATTTCTGAATGCTTGCCGTCCAATTTTTTGCACACTCTGTGCTCACTTATTTTAGTGAAATCCAAGTGATGATGTGTCGTACTATTTGCTTCTCTATCATTTGACTAATTGATTTATGCTGGAATCTCATTGATTGTCTTTCATGCTAGGTTGCCTATCGTCTATGTCTGTGGCTTTGTGCTCATATGTATGGCTGAGTACAGTGGGGAAGGGTTGTTTATCCACCGCCCCCAACCCCCCTCCCTCCCCCAAATTTTTAAAATGTTTATATTTTTTTACTATATACTTGCTACATTCTCCAGAGCATTCTCTAACTTTTGATAAATTAATTGGTTTAATGATGCTCAAAGTTAAGACACCATCTTCCATCCTTTCAAATTAAGGGGTCTAGGACTTAAAGCCTATAATATAATTTTTATTGGTCTTTGATCATCTTCCTTCTTAGTTCTCATTTAAGGAATCAAATGGTATTGTAATTGAATAAATTATTTTTGACTTGATGGATAAAACATATAATCTGATCATGAATGGTCATATATAATTGTGTTCCAATAGTTATTTTACATTATGCTTGTTATTGATGTTAGTGAACATGATATATGATTTGTCAAAGGATAATTGTTTGTAATTTTGTCCCTCTCTCAATGTTTTATGGTATTTGTTTACATGGAGTCCTCTTCGTCATTGGCCCCCCAAACAAAACTTGGCTAGCCCTGCCCCTAGCCGAATATTCTGAAATTTAAATTGTCTCTATTTGCCTTCTGCATTTCCTGTTTGTTTTGAGGAGGCTGATTGTTGGTGCTACATAGAACACTTTTGGAGATATCTTTTCTCCCGTGTAATTCTTCATGGACTTGCATTTTCAGGTTGACTTTCTTGGTTGCAGAAGCATGTCTAATTGCCGGTGCAACAAGGAATGCTTACCACACCAAGTATCGTGGAATGATTTATGCCCAGAATTTCTCCTGTGAAACATTGAGGAAAGGTGTCTTTATTGCAGGAGCAGTATTTGTAGTTGCAACAATGATTCTCAACGTATACTACTACATGTATTTTACCAAGGCAACCACAGCAGCGCCTGCTCACAAGGCAAATCGTGCAAGCTCAACTGTTGGGATGACTGGTTATGCATAAATTTTAAATTAATAAACGACAGAGACCAGGTGTAGATGAGTTTTGCTTCTTGTTTCCATGCAAGTTTGATTGCCATTGTATTAAAACACTATTCTGATATACTAGTGCTTTTTCTGGTGACATTATAGCGTAGTTATGAATGTTCAGTGTCAATTGAAGGGTGGATGAAGATATAAATTTGTTGAGAACACTGTGGTCAGATCAAAGATACCGAGTATGCACTGTCATGAGCCTGGCATTGACCTTGGATGCCAGCCATCCCTCTTGGCCAAGTGATAATCGACGAGAATGTTCACGTGAACAATATTTGCAACTGGCTTCGTTCTGGGATAAACGAACAGGGTGTTCAGTCTCTCCAAAGTCTCAAGTGTATGGCGTCTTACAGGAGTAGTACGAGTAAATAAGTGGCTGCCGATAAAACTAGAACTTAAAATCATTCACTATCAAGGTGGATGAACTTGTCATTCAATACAACTTTTTGTTAGTAACGAGAGGACGGTATCCCTTATCAAATCGATTTGAGTTATTAATTGAGCCAACTTCTAATTGGTAAGGATAGGATCGGTCTCCATGATAATTTTCAGACTTAAGTTAGCGCTACCATGTACTACAGTTAGTACGACTGTGTTCTGGTCCAAGCACGCCTTGCCTATGGGTGGTCAAAGCATAGACTGGCCATATGCCTTCCATGACAAATTTGCGTCCCCTAAATTATTACAGGCAACTCTGGTTTGGGGTCATATTCATAGGTCATTTCCTTATTTCCTCTTGACGAAGTGAAATGACAATTCATGTCTTTGATTTATTAGACCAAGTTTTTAAGAGCCATACTTCATGTCTGAGGCAGATGCCTGCTGTCAATCTGTTCCATACCCGTGTAGATCTTTCATTCATTCTTATCTGGCACTGCTCTCATCTTGTACTCAACACAAAAACTAAAGAAAAAAAATTTTGCCGTGATTTTTGTCTGCAAAGTTATTTCTTATCTTTTACACGCAAAAACACTTGGATTTAGATTTTACAGGAGCGAGTAAGGGTCGGTTAAAATTGATTTAATTAATAAAATGTGATTGAAAGAATTAACTGGGTTTAAAAAGTTGATTAAGTGGGTTAAATAGATTCAATTATCAAATTAATCGGTATTAAAATTAGTAAAAGAAAAATCCAAAGTATGGACACCGCCTTTCTAAATAACAAGCACTTTATTAACTAAGCTAAGACAGCTTGCTTTGCTTAAATTTATGATTTTTATCCATTATATTGTAATATAATAGTGTCTACAAATTTATTAAGCACGCCAAGTTTAGTTTTAAAAGAATTTTATGATATTTTAATAACATATAAGAGCAAATTCATGGCAAAAAAAAAAAAAAAGAAGCTGAATGGCCTCCCCGGACATATATTAGATAAACCTTGGTATATCGAAATCTAATTGCCTTTCTAGCTATATAAGAAACCATTTTGTCAACAACACTGCTCATTTTATTTTTTTAATTTTCTCACATTCATTAAGTTTAAAATTATTACCTTTCTAAACCCTAAATTAGATTAGATAAAAAACAAATCAAATTTGTACTTGTAGACAATCTTGTAATTATGAATCAACTTCTAAAAATAATCAAAATAGCTTTTTGTGCCTCTTTTATCTCTAATTTCTTCTTTTGTTATGAATAAATAAGTTGAATAGTTGATTGTTAGTTTAATTGATACTTATTCTTTCCTTATCATAATAATAATAATCTACTACCACAACCATTTCTTTTGAAAATTTTAAGATAGGTAACTGAATAATAAAAGAATAATAATGTAACGAAAAGCAAACCCTAAACTCAAAACAATGTTAATCTTTTGTTCAATTTACATATTGAAAATAAAACATTTGATGAAAAAGGTAGCAGTGCAGACTTTCATTAATCTTTATAATGATTTGAACAATTAAAAACTACAAATAAGAGTTTTAGTCTACAAATAAGAACTACAAATAAGAGTTTTAATTTGGAAGCCAAAGACCAGAACTTAATACACTTAAGTAAGTATATACAAATTGCATCTTCATCTTATATATTAGCATAAAAAGTTTAACAACTCCAAAAACAAATTTAATTCATCATATCAAATTAGTGATTATAAATAAAAAAATCAATACTAAATTCTTAAATTAATATAGATAATTTAAATAATTTAATGATGGTCAATGTATCTATATCATTACATGGATAAGACATTAAATATTGATATAACATGTATAAACTGTTGGGATTCGACCTCATGCTCAAACATTAAAAATAATCAATAAATTAAAATATAATGCAGCGAAAAAATAAAATAATATTTAATTAAAGAAACAGTCGAATCTTACAAGATCAATATTTTTGTTTTTCATATAACTTTTAAATAAATTATAAACACTCATAGGTTTAAGAGTTACATACTTTGCTCTAGATATCGTAATCAAGAGCCAATTAAATTCAAAATATTTACTTTTTCACCTTTAAGATTTGTCAAATTTTTAACCGCTCAAGTGTTTGACCTCTAACAGTAATCCACACAGTGACTGAATAAGACCTTCTCCAAGGTAGAATTTTACTTGTACTAGCAAGTTTTGTTTCTAAAACAAAAAGACCAAAATTCTTGCAGAATATTATTTTTGTCAGACAAAGAAAACTATTTTTTTTCTTATTTTATGAAATTGTTGAAAAGTGGTTGGAGGCTTCAAGTTTTTAGTTTGTTAATATAGCATATTTATATAGCCAAACTAATTTGTAACCCTAAATATAATAGTTTTATGTTAATTTAATTAAGTCTCTGAGAACTTAATTAATTTTTCACTTTATTTTGGTCACTTTCAATTAAGTCCAACTTAAATAATTATCCTTATTTAATCACAATCATATCACTTAATGTGTGTGACCTATTAGGCTTCTAACATGTTGGCATTAAATATAAATCATAATCAAATATCAATTTGATAATTAATTTATATTTATAGATCATGAGTGGCATCTAGTAATACATCATGACCATCCAAATGTTAGAGAGTCAATTAAAGATTTTGACAAAGCCTTTCAGTGATAAGCCCCTCAGTGCAATACGGTCCTTTCATCAAATATCCTGGATATGTCACTAAGCATGGCTCGGTGTCTACTTACGATGTTCCATATTAGTTCTCATAATTCATGACTAACCTTATGAATTTAGGAAACTAACTTTCCTCAAATTCATCATGTTTTGGCCAAAGACTTTATACAAGTCAATCAAGAATTGAGAACAAGTGAGATACATCCCCTCATATCACTTGGGGTGATTAATCCTTTCTTGACCATTCATTCACCTTCGCATGCTTCAGGGTATACCCAAAAATACTCTGTTTAGGCATTTGATTGCTTTCAAACCCATCAGGGTGAAATCAAAGTATGCCATTCCCCATACAAGATGACCTAGTGTCTCAAGTCTAAGAACTAGTTACACGACTATCACATGAAAATACTTTTCATAGACACTTGAGTGAAATACCAAATGGAGTTCGCATAGTGGGGCATGCTCAATGAACTTCTTCTTTAACAAGCATCTACATGTTATCCTCAAGTATCCCATATACCTTAATCTATGAGATCGATTGCTTACTTCCCAAGTAAGGAGAATTAACATGTACCAATCTTTGAGTATTGTTAATGCCTTGTCTTGACAATACAATGACCAAAAACAATTTTAGGAAAATGGCTTTGATGCATAGTGATCTCATAATTATAACAACTTTATAATTCTCTTGCAAGACCTTTATGTTACATAGGCTTCATCTAATTAGTACTTAATAACTCCTTATTATTGCACTAACATGAAGGAAAACCTCTATCACATAAACTTATGCGATTAAATGTACATTAAATGACAATATATATATTCCTTGACCAATCTAATTGGCTCAAGGGCATATACCAACATAAACATATTAATATATGTTAGCTTTACCCTGGTTTTGAAATAACAAAACTGATTGATCTAAATATACTTTAAAAATGGTTAAAAAATGTTTTTAAACTAGAAAAAAATCCTTAAAAGTTTTGAAGTCAATTATGCAAAGAAATATCTTTTAGACAAACTCAAACTCTAAATTACCAGCCTTAAGAATTGACCTTTTGAAAGTAAAGAATCAATTCTCAACTATACAGAAAGCAAAATCTATTTTTCTTCTTATAGGATGAATTGATTCTCTAAAAAGAAAAAGTCAATTCAGGAAAGTGTAAAAGCTATTGGAAAAAGAAAGAATCGACAACTTAGAGAGGAAGAATTGATTTTGGAGAAACTGAGAGCAAACTGATGAAGTTCAAGCATGAAAGAATTGATTCTCCATGATGTAGATAATAGTTCCAAGTAAAGGATAAGTCAACAAGCACAAGTCTGAAAAGAAGAATCTATTCTTAGAGAATTAGATGTCGATTCCTAAAGCTCTAAAGAAAAAAATCACAAAATTGGAGAAAAGAAATAAATGGGTGAATGGATAAGAATGGAGTGTCAAAAACCATTTTCAAACTTAAAATTTGGTGCTTGACTACAAAGAAGAATCGACACCTAGTGAAAAAAAAGGTCGATTCTTAAGAAAACTAAAAAGGCGTAAACTTTGAATCGAGCTAAAAAGAATTGACACCTTGGAAATAAAGAATTGATTCTCAAGAAATAAAAAGTTTTAGACTTTAAGGTGACATAGAAAAATCAAAACCTTAGGTACAAGAAGTTAGTTCTGTCAAGCATTAGACTAAAGCTAATATTGATTCTCAATATGGAAGAATCGATTCTTCAAGTACGACATACTTGATCCAACTGGCCAAAACGTTTAGAAAATCATTTCAAATTTACCCTAATGGGTAAATTCTTTCAAGGCTTATAAATACCTACTGGAAATGCATATCAAGGCTAAAAAAAAGGTAAGAAGAGAACAACAAGAGAAAAAGAAAAAAACCAAGAGAGAGCAGAAAGCAATAAAAGTTGAAACATCCTATCTTTCATTTGAAAAGGAGCAGATATCACAACAAGATCATTCCTTTCTTCATCTTCATAATCCTCTTAGCTGAAACATTCCTTGATCAATCTTTACCACTCAGAAATCCCTCATCGTTTTGCACTTAAATTACTTACTGGCCTTGTTAGA